TTTGCGTCTGGCTTCTCCCACGGAGAGTCACGCCTTCAACTTTCTGCCACATTGTAGCAGGAGTCGGAGCCTCATTCCTTTTTCACGGCTGCGTGATACTCCGCTGTGTGTGTTTTTCCATTTAGCATCAGGGGACGCGTGTGCTGTTTCCACCTCTCGGCTCCTGTGAATGGGCCTACTCTGAACAGGGCTGTGCAAATATCTCTTCCAAACCCTGCTTTGAACTCCTCCGGGGCATATGCCTAGAGGTCACATTGCTGCGTCCTGTAGTAATTTTAGGTTTATTTTTGGAGGGGCCGCCGGGCCGTTTTCCGCAGCGACTGCACCGCTGTATATTCCTACCGTCCCACAAGGGTTCAATTTCTCCACCTCCTCGCCAACACTTGTTATTGTCTGTTCTGGCTTTGTCTTTTTATTATTAGTATTTTGATAGCAGCCATCCTAACGGGTAGGAGGTGGATGAACCGCGTTTCCTACGACAGTTTTCTGCTGACAGCACCAGTTCAGCCCCAAATGCTCTTCCTGGGCCTGTCACCCTCTCGGCCGGAGGCAGTGGTCACTGTGGTTTGCGGTTTTCCTCTGGGGCAGGAACTGGGGGTGCGAACTGGGCCACCCAGCACCTCATCCCCTCTCTGCAGAGCAGAGGGGGCGGCTCCGACTGCTCGGGGCCCAGGTCCCGGGTCCCTCCTTCACTGCTCCGCGGACCCCGGCCCCCCGCCCACCCCCAAAAGCCCAAGGAACCAACAAAAACCAAACCCCGCCGCCCCCGAACCCCGCCCCAAAAAAGCCGGTTCCCCAACCCCGGGGGCCCCAAAAGGGGGCGGCTTTGATCCTCTGGGACATCTGTCGATGTCTGGGGACGGTTTTGGGGTATCAGGACTGAGGCTCTGGGTGCTACTGGCATCTGGTGGGTGAAGCCCAGGGAGGCTGGTCCGCGCGGCACAGCGCACAGGACACCCCCACGGAGTCCCCCAGCCCCAATGTCAACAGTGCCCGACCTGAGCAACCTGCCCTGGACCGAAGGGGCTGTGCCACTCTGGTCCTCTGAGTCCTGCTCTCGGCGGCCCCTCTGCCGGGACATCTTGTTGCAGTCGGCGTGGTCACCTTTGTAATCAGGGAGGGAGAGAATGAGGCGCCCGCGGTCCCGGCAGGTGGAGAGGGCCCCGCTCTGAGCCTTCCGTCGTCCTGCAACCCGGCGCACATCTCACCGGAACCTGCACTTCCCTCTCCCCCCGGGGAGGGTCACCCTTCGCTGGCTCCCCGGGTGCCCGTCTGGGGAGTGGGCGGCTATCCCGGACCAGACAGGCATTTCCTTGAATTCTCACACGATGCCCCCGGAGAGTGCTGTGCCGGCCCCAGTTTCAGGACACTGCGGTGCTTTGTGAGCGAGGATGCCCCGAACGTGGAGAGAGCCGCAGGGAACAAGCGTGGACGGCACAGCACGGTCCGGTAGCTGTCAGCAGAGGGGCGGCTGCAGAGACCTCCCCTGGGGCTTATCGTCTGATCGAGATGTCCAAGGGCTGAGGCATTTGGGGGCCGGAGGTTGGGTCTGGCCTTCCATTAGGAAAGTCACTGAGCTTCAGGGCTTCTACGGGGAGATGTGGGGCTCTCCGGACCTTGGGCCACCCCCCTATACCTTGGCATTTGCAAGACAATATGCGTTGTTTTTGTTTTTTTTTTTTTTGAGAGAGAGTCTTGCTCTGTTGCCCTGGCTAGAGTGAGTGCCGTGGTGTCAGCCTAGCTCACAGCAACCTCAAACTCCTGGGCTCAAGCGATCCTCCTGCCTCAGCCTCCCGAGTAGCTGGGACTACAGGCATGCGCCACCATGCCCGGCTAATTTTTTTTTTCTATTTTTTTAGTTGTCCAGATCATTTCTTTCTATTTTTTTTGGTAGAGACGGGGTCTTGCTCTTGCTCAGGCTGGTCTCGAACTCCTGAGCTCAAACAATCCGCCCGCCTCGGCCTCCCAGAGAGCTAGGATTAGAGCGTGAGCCACCCCGGCCTAACAATATGCGTTTTTATATTTAAAGTTAAGGGATACTCCAATAACAAAGAGGATGGCAGAGTGTATACCTCCATGCCACGGGGCAAAGAGAGTTTTCCAAGGTTGTTATAGACCAGTTTTGTTTTTTCTTCACACAGCCTTTCTGAATTCTGAAAGGTCAGTAGGAATATCTTTATTACTAAAAAGAAAAAGTGATTAGGACTTGTGTATTGTTTTAATGCAACAAAATGAAATGAGGGTAGCTATATTGGTTTAATATAATAAAGCTATAATCAAAGATCTATGTTAGTTTACACTAAAAGTTGCATAACATTTTGATATTTTTTTTTTCTTTTCTTTTCTTTTTAAGAGGCAGGGTCCTACTCGCTCTCCTGGGCGGGAGTGCCGTGGCGTCATCCTAGCTCACAGCAACCTCAAACTCCTGGGCTCAAGCGATCCTTCTGCCTCAGCCTCCCGAGTAGCTAGGTCTACAGGTGCTGCTACCATGCCGGGCTGATTTTTCTATTTTTTGTGTGCGTGTGTGGAGATGGGGTCTCACTGTGTTGCCCAGGCTGGTCTCAGACTCCTGGCCTCAAGATGCCTTTTTGCTGGGTCGTCCCATAGGCAAAGCCCCCTGTTTTCATACTCCTGCATTGGGCATTCGGTTTCAGCATGAGTCCTGGAGGGACACAAACCCTCAAACCACAGCCACTCCCCACCCATGCCAGCCCCCTCTAAAGCTAATGCACCACGGAAGGCCCGTGTCCTTATCCTCTGACCCTGGGTTTGCAGTCCGGGCACTTGTGACGTATTTGGGGCATCGGAAGCACATGCCTCACACCGCGTCTGGTATGCTGTGGAAACTTAATTTATTTCGTAACTGCACTATGTGACGATAGCGTACGGTCGATAATTGATGACTTACGACATTACATAATGCTATCATTGTATCATAGAATTATTATCATATGTAACTACATTGTGTAAGTATAGTGCATATTTATAATTTATA